CGAAAGATCACAGTCAATTACTCAACAACTTTATCAATGTATAGGTGTTATTGATTTAAGGGGGTAAGTTTTCAAAGAAACTGTGGTGCTGCTCGGTGTGAGGGTATAATAAAAAAATAATTTTGGTTTTATCAACTGAGTTGATAATGTAGATTGGCCACTGTAAAGAGTTTACAGGCTGACGTTTCGAGCGTTAGCCCTTCGTCAGAGCGAATGACGAAGGACCAATGCTCGAAACGTCGGCTTGTAAACTCTATACCGTGACTGATTTACATTATCAACTCAGTTAATGAATTAATGTGTGTTACTGTTTGTCAAAGGTGACCCCTCCTAAAGAGTAAATAGCACTTATGCGAAATGTCTATATGAACTTTTAAAACATAAAATCAGAGACTAATGAATAAAACAACTGTTGATATTCTCATTCAACCAAATTTTACGTGCAATTTTTTGCGTCTATTTTTTCCTTATGACTGAAGTCTTCATGATGCATAAGAACACCTTTTAACTGAGTGTCAAAAGTAATGCATAACTTCTCTCGTTTTGATCTACCTTGACTGGTGATTGGTCCAGAAATATCACAACATCCTCTCGACCAATCAGATCCAAAACTAAAATGTTTTCCTGGGCCTCGCACAGGTGCGGGTATAATTGGCAACTTGAACTGCTTTTCTTTTTTCTGATTGGCTGTTGAGATTAAGTTAATTTTTTACGACACTCAATTAAAGGGCACTCAATAAAGTACAACAGTACTGCTTATAGTAAACTTCTACTCAGCGAGGTATTCAAACATTCAGCAAAGCCTATGAATACAAAGATATTACTGGTTAATTACTGAATATCTACAAAAAAAGGCAAAAAAACTTAAAATACACCGTAAACAAAGTAATGAAAAAATTCAGCAAAGACGTAATTGAGTAGTAGTCTGAAATATCTAAGTTTCGTCCAAAGTACAGAATCCTGAACCTGCGAAAATCTTAGGAAATCAAGTGGGTCATTTTTAACACACTTTCAAAAGGTGATAAGAAATTCAAGGTAGCTTATAGGTACAAGTACTACAAACTGATTGCTAAACATCCGAAATGTCTTCCATCAGCTTAAACGGTTCACTTGAAACCCGACGAAATTCACGATTATCTCATTTTTCTCTTCTTTCCTTATCAGCTAACAATTTACTTTAAACGCGACTAAAGTCCACTGTCTCGTGAAATCGACCAAGATAATATTTGGTTGTGGGTGATACGTGTTTTGCTTACCAAAATTTAAACCCATCATTAGCTGGGTACATGTATAGCCTTGTAATCTTACATAGTAACGATACGAAGGGTTTAGGATCGATATTTCCCATTATCCTCTCTGCTTACTGGTTGGCCTAAATTCTGTGGTAGTGATCCCCCTCCCTCCCGACAAGCCGATATCTAGAGGTGATGTTATGAGAACTCGCACTAGGACTAGTATTGAAGTTCAAGGTTGAGGTGCGGTAGCTATCATTGGCTAACATTTGCAGGAACTAGGCCCCGTTCTAGCCTTTGCTATGCCTACTGAACTTAATAAAAATCTTAAAGAAAATGCGTGGAAAGCATTCTGATAACGTAATGAACGACATTGCTACTTACTGAATCAGCATTCATAAAGTGTCATTGAAGTTGTTGAGGATACTGAAATTTTTGAAAAATTTGAGGAATACCTTCCTAACAATGCCACTCTGTTTCCAACAGAGATTGCGTCAACAACTACAGAGCCGCGTACTTATTCGTTAACTACGCATAGAAATTTGGTACACACATTTGCACGTTGTTAGACGCATATATACGCGAACAAATGTACGCACATATAGGTATTATGCGCATCTGATGTGTGTTTATTATTCGATACCATGATTTTCCTTTGCGTTACCTTGTGTAAAAGAAAGAACGTTTGGGTCTGAAAATAAGGCGAGTCGACGTAGAATTTGCCTCTTGAAAAAGGCTGTCAAGTTACATGCATGCACGACGCATCGCTTCGGGTATTCATCGAATAACGAGCAGTAGCAACTTAATTGCTAGTTTTGTGTTTCGCACGAAGAGAAAGATACGGAGAGAAAGTACGGCTTTTAGCACATGCATTTCCACCGATTGTTTTCTAATTAATAATGGTAATAGGGCTGAATTGTCTATAATCATACGAGTGATTAACAAAATAGGACGACCGCGAAGCGGGAGACCTAATTGTTCATCACAGGTATGATTACAGACAGAATTGGAAGACACGAAGTCCTGTTACAAAATAGTCAAAACCATGACAAAATTTGAGAAAGAAAATAGACATCGGTTATACGTTTTTAGTTAAAAAAAACTGTTAACTTGGTGAAATGCGTGACAACGCACGCACATGACGCGTTTTGTCCACTAACATAGGCACGACGTGTTTACTATCCCTTAAAATATCCTATTATACTGTCCAATTACAAGCATGACGCGTGCACTGTCCTATTAGTGCTCAAATCGGGCTGGTGATAACCAATCACGTTCGAGAATTTTGTTATAGTTTTGACTAAGAGCTTAGTGGTTGTAGTTAGACTTTCGGCTGCTCAGAGTGCTAAAAGCTTTCTTTTGGCAGCTAAGCGTACATTCTGTGGAACTTGGATTGATAGTTTTGATACGTTTGGACACTTATCTCAACGTCTCCACACTTGTTCATCTCTTTCGGTGGTTGCAATTGACTTTGCTCGTGTGGAGCTTCATTGACAATCATTGCCATTCCCTCGAGCTGGTGTACCTCTATGTGGCAGTGAAGAAACCAGTTGCCAGGATTATCGGATAGAAAGTTGATAACAACGTACCCTCCAGCAGGGAGCATAACTGTGTCCTTTCTGATCGTATGGGAATCTATAGAAAAGCGCTTTTCTCGGTTCCATCTTGGTCTGGTACATCTCCTCTTATCGCAGTTCTGTTGTGTGCAGTGAACGTCATCGCAGTATATATCACTGTTGTGCTTTGTTATAAAACCAGTTTTTGGGTCATAATCTGGGTATCCGACATGAACGACATGGAAGGTATGGCCATGAAGGTGAATTGGATGAGCGTTGTGGTAAGCACCAATTGCTGAAAATACCAATTGAATAGTTTCCTTATGGGGAATAGTTATCACTTGCACACATGAGCACGCGGGTGTTGATGGGTTGCAGTCGGCTTTCAGGTCACAAATATTGTCCTTTTTGAGAAACTCTTCAGGTTGGGTTTGAGGAGGAAAGGAGGGAAGAATGAAATTGCGCCCATTCACTGCACTAGTTTGAGAGTCACCCTCAAAGTTGAAGTTGATGAAATGTCGACAATTTTGGCATTGCCCTGGGGTTTTAGGGTTTGCGTTCGGAAGCTCCGCTGGTGGAGTTGGCTCAAGTAAACGTAGGTCTTGAACATTAATACAGGTAACATGATAAGATGGATGGAAGTTCTTGAATGGGCAGTTTAGTGCTTTGCATGGTTTGTAGGAGGAGCACTGTAGGGGTGGAGACCTTCTTTTTATATCTTCGTATTCTGTCGACGGCACATTAACATTGGGGTCGGCCGAGTCTCCATCCTGTTCGTAGTGCAAAATAGCTTCTGCCACATGTTCTAATGACTTGTATGGTGGCCCTTGGCCATTGTGATCAATCTCCAGAGTCTCTGCACGTATCCAGTAGTCTTTTCTTGTATGTTTTGCTTCAAGTAGGAAGTCAAACCTCTCTCCGGTGTGAATGATGATGTAATCAACGTTTTCTACAGGCTGGATCCAGTATCCATCAGTGCCCACCACAGTCAGCTTATGACCATCAATGGAGAATTTGTAGGCGTACAGATTTTGGGCTCCAATGAGCCGAAAGCGATACGTCTTACCAGCCTGAACAGAAAATATACTTAGTCTGGTTTTGATGTATGGAACATCATCATGCCTGCCTTTTCCATTTATAATTCCGGAAAAATACGGGACTGGCCCAACCTCTCCTTCTTCATAACTACGCGTGGAGTCATACCGCCGCTTTAAATCATCTTTAGTTGGCACCTCTCCCAGCGGCTTGCCTGGGTAAAAGCCCAAACTGGCGTGAATCTGTGTGAACAGGTCTAAGGATGCCTCATGTTGCCAGTCTAGAAGCGTTAAGGTGTGCTGGTCTGGAAGGTCTTCAAATGCACGGTGCCTATGGAGTTTATCTCGAATCTGGGTCATTTTCTCAGGACTTTCTTTTACAACAAGTCCACCAAAGAAGCCATCTGTTCTTTGAGCGCCACTGTGAGAGTGGTACCAAAACGTGCCGGCAGGTTCAGCTTTGTAAACGTATGTGAAGGTCGATGATGGTCCTATCTGACATTGAGTTACTTGCCCCACACCATCCATCCAAGGTGTCCCTCTCTGATGCATACCATGCCAGTGAATTGAAATACCTTCAGTGGTGAGATTATTGTGAACATGCACCTCAACAGTTTGCCCTTCGTGAACAATCAAGGTAGGTCCAGGAATTAGTCCATTGACGGCTATTGCCAAACGATATGTTTTACCATCAACAAATTGGGGATAAGTGCACTTGGCGCTGTCTTGTGTTGAACATGTTCTGTCATCCTGGAGTGGTGTGGGAGACCCATCGTTATCGAGATAATAAATCACTCCCTGAGATCCTCGCATCGCAACCCCTGTGGGCTCATCCACTGACAACTTTTGATAGCTGGTGAAGGTTCGAATTTCGTCAATTTCAAGATTAAATTTACAAACCTTTGCGTGTGCCATGCATTCGCACGTTGGATTTCCGTATTCACAATTGAGGGTCTCTTGATGTACCCATGTTAGTTTGATTTCTTTTGAATCGTACCCTCTAAGCCACTTGTTAAGGTGTGGATCACTTGTCAGATCCATGTACTGTTCCACACCAGTCTTAGCAGAGATGCGAATGGATGATATGTACCAATCTTCGTATTTGTTACTACTAGCCTTTAAGTGGATTTGCTTAATGTCAGATAACGACACGCAGTTTGTGGTTCCAAACCGGGCTGCAAAGTTTAGCTCTCGCACATAGGATTGCCCTCGATACATGGGTCCTTCAAGTTCGGCCTGATATTTTTGGTTGTTTGATAAAGTGAGAACTATCATGTGACTTTTATACTTAGTGTACGACGTTGAAGATTCAGCTCCATACATGTGTCCCGTCACTGCATTTACACGTATGTATGTGATACAGGATCCTGCGACAGCATTGGTAAGGAGGAGCTTTCTGGCATTGTAAGAGTAAAGGTGTTCTTCATCGATGTCCACCCACATACTAAAGCCTGGATCAATGGTCAGCTCAGTGAAGACTTTGTTTGATCCTGCGGTGTAGGTGTTGATCGATGCAACGTACCATCCATCCCCTCCTTGAGCCTCGAGATAAACTTTGTCTATGTCTCCGTGGGTGCAGGCAAGTCGCGGTTCGAAAGCAGTTTTGGCTCCCAATTGTATTGTATATTTTTGACCTGCTGTCTTCCTGTAGTGCAGCTCTGCGCGATACTCCCTGCCATTCTTCAGAACGATCAACAGCTGTGGATTTTTACCATAGTAAGAACTTTGACCTTCTCCTCTACGTAACGGATCATCGGAACCAGTCATCGCTTCAACCTTCACAACTTCAATGAGCCCTTTGAAGAAAGAATATGCAAAAAGTATTTGCTGCCTAGTTAAACAAAAGAGAGCGAAGTGTTCTGTCGACGTCAGATACTGAAATGTGACATTTACAAAGAATATTTCAAAGGCCTGAATTTTGCATGGAACTGTCTCAACTATGTAAACTCTGTCCCCACATCGTGAAATACATGATCACGCTGCAAATTCTGGCGATCTTGCGAGAGAAATACGATAAACCTTGGCCTCTCTACCACATTTCATATCTCGATTTCCAGCTTTGACTCTACGTCTAATTTACATACGATACCCTTAATGTGATCAAAATTTTCAGAAAACTAAGTAGAGGTGTGCTACCTTCGAAAGTTACTGACGCCATGTCAAAATGAGGGGACCGGGAACATAAGAAATTTAGATAAAAATAATGTTAAATTTATAACATGTGAAATAATCATGCACTTTACCTTGCCCATATGACCTCACATGATCTTCATGAAGGTTTATTGGTTGCTCTGAAAATTTCCGCATTGTCTCTAAAGAGAGAGAAAAAAATAAGACAAAAAGGCGATTTTTAGTGCGTAATGTGGTCTCTTGAAAAAGATGCGAGGTCACTCTGTCTACCCACAAGTAATGTCTTGCTAAGTGATGTGCTTACCTCTATCACGAAATTTGAAATTTTCTCGGGAAATTCCTCTGAATTTTCGAAGTCTTCAAGGGGAATGTCTGAGGAGGAAAATTAATTCACTTGCTTATTTAACAACGCCAGTGAAAAATTACTGAAAAGGGAAATATAACATTATAAACAGCTGGGTGCCAACAATTGCAAAAGCATCCTTCAATTAATGCCAGTTCTAATAGAAACAGGGAAGTGCGATAGCTGTCGTAAGTAAGCGGCTCTACTATGTGATCTCTGTAGCCCCGAATCCTTGCAATTCACAAATGATCACGTACTCCAGAAAAGAAATATTTAATAATAGCTCAGCAGTTATGCAAACGAAACAACCCCATCAATGCAGTGTAGACCCAGACTATCACTCTTTTTTTAAAGGTATCTACAGAAAACTTACCAAACTCGTCTTCGTCATTTTCCACTATTCCATCGTCTTCGTCCTTTTCCTCGGGGTCACGAGGGAAATCTTCAATAAAATATGGTGAGTCGAAGGTAAAATTAAAAACTTTTCACTTTTTAGGCCCTTCTATCAATATATATATATATTTTTTTTTCTATATAATTCCCTATACATTTCCTAAGCTGCAGACAAGGAGAATTTGTTTAACAATTAAGAGCTCCTCCAGTTGTTTATCATTTCCTTTATTCTCATGACCTTAATGTGCGATTGAGGGGTGATATTGTAAGGAGAAATTAGAGGCTAGTCAAAAAAATTGGTTGTTAGATCTTGGGTTTGGAATAATTAAACGGAATAGTCTTAGTAAGGAATAATTTGAATAAGCTTACGCGTATCTCCTGCAATGTATTGTTCATCCCAAGGATCCGCCTTGAGCTTAAAGTTCTCAGCTGAAAAGAATAAAATAATTTGATGAGTTAGCTTTGCAATGATTTGGAACATGAGCTTTAAATTGCAAATTGTACTTTTTAATAACCAGACCCCTTTGCAGCGAGCCTTCGCATCTGTCAAGAATCTTTTCTTGGATAACAGATGAATTAAGAACGAGGTGAGAGGTTTCTTTAGTTTTTTGGCCGTCATTTTGTAAAACACTTGTGCATAAGACCGGAACTGGTTGCGCAAGGGTCTGGGACGGTTTGAAAATTACGAAAAAAAAAATAAGAAAGGAAAATTTCAAGCGTTTGCCGAGAAGTATAGAACCAAGCAGATTTCAAAGCATTCTTGCTACAGACTCCCACAAAACCCTTTTTTCGCACGCATCAAACACTTAATTCGAGTTCAGCTCATTTTTCAGTCATATAGTGATACTTTTTGCGGACTCAGTCTGCTATTCTCGCTAGCACAAGAGATGTTCACCCGACCGCCTAAAGATGCGAATGACTCACTTTTTCTTTTACGACCATGATGCAAT